AAAAAGATTATAAGGGACCAAAATAAGGTTTTAACCTAAAACTTATATGTGATGATTTATTATCGAATAATATATACTATAATAATATAAAAACTTTGAATGAAAAAATGTATTTAAAGTGTAATTTAACATTTGTAGCTTAGCTTACTTTCCTCCTTTTATTATAATGGCACTATTTCTATATTTTAATGGTTACTGAATATTGGTTTTAGCGCTAGTGGTCTGTCAACTTTTCCCTTGGACTTACCCGTCAGAATTAAATATTATTCAAGTTTTTTTATCAATTAAAAGGTTATAGGGTCGCAAATCTTCATGATTTATATTAATATACTAAACTATGATGCAACTTGTTGATAAAATATTGGAGCTAATTCTGACTTTTAAATGTGAAACAGACAAAATTGTGAATTACGATGGAGCAGTATGTTATTCGCGGCTGAAAATCGGTAAAAATAAATAAAAATATAAATCCCTCGGACCGGTTTAATTAATTTTTTAAAATTTTAATTTTAAATATTTTTAATAAAATATATAGTTATAAATTTATAAATTTGATTTTTTTAATGTTTTTCTTATACATATTATTTAATTATTTATTTTAATTTTAAATTTTAATATTTTATTTTTTACAATTTTAAATTTATAAACAACGGTTTATTTTAATTTTTAGCAATATAAAATTATAATTATATATTTATTTAATATTATTTTTATATTGTTAATAATAATAATGATTATTATTTTAATATTAGTTTAGTCATAGTTAAATTGTTAAATTTTAAATTAATTTAGATCAGTTAAATAATTAATCCAATTTTAAAAATATTAATTTAAACAAATTTGTAAAATATCTTATGAATAACTCATAAAATATTTTAAACAATTCCATATAATTTAATACTTATGTGAAAACTCATGTTCAAATCTACAAAATATGAGATTTCCTTCTTTTTTATCTTTAAGGAATTAGCTTCAAAGTATAAGTAAACCAACATCTAACTAAGACAATAATCAGATGAACACGAACATTCTAACTTATTAGTGGGAGGAAGCCTCTCTTTATATATAATATATAATAAATTATAATTATAGATAAGTAAATAAAATTTATCCAAAGTGTCAGGAAGCAATATACTTGGAGAAATGTGATGACCAAGAATCGAACATAATTTAAGATAACTTAACTAGTTATCTATATATTTAAATGAGCAAAAAATAATATAAAACAAAAGAAACACATCTATACTTATTGTAAGTAGCTAAGTATTAGAGCATGAATAACTAGGAATAGTTGAAAATTTATAGTCCATGTATTTCATCTGCTTATTCATTGGCTGCATGCATATTATAGGCGGCACATTTGTCATGTTTATCCTAACTAATAATTTTATTCTATGATTACTTGCGAATAATTAACTCTACCCCTTCGCCATATTTTTTATTAGAAGCAAATAAAGCATTTTGTCTTTCTATATATTTATTTTTGAAAAAGTTTAGAATTTTTTTTTTAATTTAAGGATAATAATATTCAATACAAAATAGAAATAAAAAATACGGGTAACAAAATCTATTTCTTTTATAATAGGTATAGATATTTTATTTTTTTAAAAATTAAAGTATTAAGAGCATCATAATAATATTTTACTTTTATTTATGTTAAGAAGCACTTGTTAATTTTAAAAAGTTTGAGAAATAAAATACAAATAAACAAGATTTTGGAATTAATCTCTATCATCTGTGTAGAAACTATTACAAACACAATAAAGTGTCATAATTATCCTATAAAAGAAACTCCAAAAGTCAAAGGAAGGTAAAAGAAACCATTGCCTTGGTCTAATTATCTGCTTTCGTTTTCAACTATGAAGTTAATAAGCCAATTAGCTTCATAAACCCTCAAAATTAAATTTTGACAAATCACGCACATTCAAATATAATTAAATTTTTTAGTCCGTTTTGTACGGATTTAAGTTTAATTGTAAATTTATAATTATAATTATCATAAAAGACATGTAAAAATTATCTTTAATGTAACATCCTAAAATTTTATTTTTATGTATTGGGATTGTTAAAAGGATTATCATATTTTTTTTATATGTATTTTACTATTTATGTATACGTATTTTACTATTCACGTATACGTATTTTTGAATAGTAATATATGTATTTTTGAACAGTAAATTCGTGGACGAACAGTAATCTCGTGAATGCACAGTATTTTACTATTAATATTATTTTAATGAATAGTGCATAGTAAATATAATATTATTTTAATCTGCATAGTAATTCCAGAATTTCTATAAATAGAGGCTAGGGACTGAAGGAAATTCATAACTTGAGATAAGGAAATTCTGGAGGAAGAAAGAGAGAGAGAGAGAAGAATCTAGAAAGAGAGGAGGTTCTACTCTAGTTCCGGTCCTAGTTAATAAAAAAGAAGAGGAAGTTCTACTCAAATTTCTATTTAATCAGGTACGGGGGAAAAGAGGGTTATTTATATGTAAAATACATGAGGGTATTGGGTAGAATTTCTTAGAATAACGTTTGATTTATGTGAATGGACGGCCAAGCCTCCTATTGATTTAAAATTTGGAATTTATGTGAATGGACGGCCAAGCCTCCTATTAATTTCTAATTTGGAATAATTAGGAATTTTACTGTTATTCTATTAACTTTTATGTTAAGGAAAGTTAATTGCTATATTACTTGTAAGAATGAAGAATATTGATATAATATGCTTGAGGGGTATGTAGATCTTACTTTGTTAAGTTTATTTGTTATATGGAATTATACATGTGTTATAAATTTGATGAGATGTTGTATGGTTGTGATATGATTGTGATTGTGATGTCTCACATCGATGGCTAGTATGGCACGGCTCTGTATAAGTGGTGTTACAGGGAAGGCGTGACCCTAGCATGGTGTGAGATGAGAAAAACAGTTAACACCACCACTTATGTCAGTTATGGCAGCCCTGACATAGGGTTAATTGCAAGAGATTGTATTGATTGTAATGTGATTGTTGTTACTCACACTAAAGGATTAAGGATGATACGAACCCTGTGTGGTGGATACTTCAGGGACGAGCGTACTCCTCGTAAATCAGGGATGATACGAACCTTGGGTAGGTGATGCTTCAGGGACGAGCGTACCCCTGGTATGGTGTGAGTAAGGGAGGCAATTAACCTGTATCACTTGTGTCAGATGTGGCGAGGTCTTGGCATAGTGTTAATTGTGATATTGATG